ATTTTAAGATCTATTAATAACAAATATATTAGTAAAATTAAACTTTCACTAAACGAACTACGTAAATTAATACAAGAGGTATTACATGATTCGAATAATAATAATAATAATAATAATAATATGCAGCTAGAATGATTATTTTTTTAACATCCGGTATTGAATAGCTTATCTACTGACTACTATACAACGTGACTATATTATAGTATACAGTGTGATATAATTATACTAGCTTAATACTATTTAAATAGTGTTTGTTATACTATTATACATGCCCGAGTGTCGTGGCGCAGTGGGGAGATGTTAGGCTTTGTATGCATACAGTTGTAGGTTCGATACTGGCTGGGTGGGATTTTATTTGTGGTATTTTCAGCTCTACACACGACACGTGGCTTGTTCGATTATATGTTGAGTATAGTCGGATTTAAGACACTAGTGTTACCTGTGATATCATAGATAAGGTTCTCCTCACTGGTCCCTGGAGTCTACATATAACGTCTCCTCATTGTGTTGTGATACGATGAAGGCTACATATCTTAGTAGCCCCCCCCCCTGTTGTACAGATGTCAACAAAAAAATAAAAAAATAAAAAAAAATAAAAAATAAAAAAAACCGATGTCTGTACAATGGGGGCTACTTTTGCAAATTTTTTCTATTTTTTTTTTCGATTTAAATTAATATTACACGGTCGTATAATTTGACCTTGTTAAATATTACAAGTCCTATATTTCATTTAATATTTGATATTATCAAGTCGGAACAACACAGATATGTTTTATATACTTATCTACACTACATATTAAAAGTTTACCCCCCGCTTCATATTTTTCATTTAAGTATAACTCTGTTGCTATTTATGTTAGAATCTTCATTTTTACATTAAACATTTTTGATTTTAATTCTTTATAAGTCCCCCTCATAGTGTCATAGTGTAAAATCGTTTTTAAAGATTTTTGGATTTTAATAACGCGTGTCCGAATGGGACACGCGTTAAATATTGAACATTTTTTTAATAGAACAATTCTATTAAAAAATTAAATTAATAATATAATTATATTCTAAGCATTTTGTGATCGGAATCTGTACCTCCCATACCAAGACAACATATTTTAATGTTTCCTAAATCTTGAACAACACAAATATCATGGAGATATTTGAAAAAATAAGTACCGGTTGTATTTATTAAATCATTAGCTATTTTACAAATTTCAAGCCATGTTGGCGATTCTAGTATTTTAGAAGCATAAGGCTTTCCATTTCCAGAAATATTGTGTCCATGATCGACAATTAAAATATTTTCTTTAATCGGTATTGTATTTAGATTATATTTTATTATATTTTTATTATTTTCATAATGTTCAAAAGCACAAAATTTCACATAACATTTTTTTATTTTTTTATTTAATATATAGTTTTCTACTTCGTTTTGCATTTCGGTTTCTTGTAACTTATTATAATTGTTTATAGATTCCATTCTTTTATTATAAATATCAATTCCTTTAACTAAGGTATTCAATTTCTTTAAAAATATTTTTTAATACACTATATTACATTTCGATTTTAATTATTAATATCATAAGTATTATGAAAAATATTTTGGGGGTGAAAATGTATTTAATAAGTTTTGCGAAAAATGTTTTTATTATTATTACATTTCGATTTTTATTTTTAATAATTAAGTTTTGTGGAAAATATTTTTAATTATTATTGCATTTCGATTTTTATTTTTAATAATTAAGTTTTGCGAAAAATTTTTTAATTATTATTGCATTTCATAAGTTTTGCGAAAAATTTTTTAATTATTATTGCATTTCAATTTTCTGATTTTTTTGCACATTGTTTTCTTTGTGATCTTTTACTGATATATTATGAGGTGCGCCAGGACTGGTATATATATACTACTTATATGTGTTGTATGTGAAAAGTACCTATAATAATGTAATATATTTTGTTATATGTATGTTATTATAAATGATGAGCAAAGTGAATCGACTATGGTAATAGTAATTACAGTATATAGATCACATGGAATTTTAAAGAGTAAAAAGTCATCTGAATAACATTAATACAGTATGTCAGTATTGTTACACTTAACTTAATGTAGAATAAATTTAATCGTCAAAGACAATGAAGATATATGTGTTGTATGTGAAAAGTACCTATAATAATGTAATATATTTGGTTATATGTATGTTATTATAAATGATGAGCAAAGTGAATCGACTATTGTAATAGTAATTAGTATATAGATCATATGGAATTTTTAAGTGAAAAAAGTCATCTGATGGCATTAATAGGTACAATATTGTTAAACTTAACTTAATGTAGAATAAATTGAATTTTCAAAGACAATGAAGATATGTGAAAGTGAAATGTACCTATAATAATGTAATTGTATTTGAATGTAAAATGTTGTTAACAAAAGTAAATATTTTGGTTGTAGGTATGTAAATTTTTTATTCCTAAACTATAAGGATATAAGAGTGTTAGTGAAGTTAATGAGCTATATAGAGTAATAAAACATTTGTAATGAAATATATATGTAGGTGGGTATTGCATAATTCAACAACTGTAGGCTAAAATTAACACATTCAATATATCATCGTGCTCTAGCGTAGACCCTTTTGTCATTGTTTCTCCATCAAAAAGTGTATGTTTTGCTGTACAGCCAGGTAGGTAGTTAGGTAGGTAAGCCATATGTATTGTAATACAGTGTTATGGTTGTGTTGAAATGAATGAGTTGAGATGCTTGGAGATGTATGTATGATATGAAGATACTCACCAAAGATGGCACCGCCGTGCGGACCAGACGACGGCGTCGTGCATCACCTTCAACGTAGTCAATACCAGGGACAAAATGCCTCGAACACAACGCAGAGTTTAGGTTTACATGAAAACCTTGGTTCACCACAAATTCCACCCACTGAAGACGACGCCCGTCAGTTGGAATTCTAAGGATGAATGTGATTTATAACATGTTACATTATTGATATGTGTAGGGTGAAATTGTAAAAACCTGTGCAGCGAAACGTTATTGTCACCATCCACGTTTCCACAGATCACACATCGTCTCATCATTGTGAATAGCCTGGAACGCATCGTAAAATCGTTTAAAGATTTAAAATAATACATAATATATAATTAATTATAATGAAAGCATTGAAATCATTTTGAAAAGATGATAGTATCGCCGTATCGGTATGTTATCAGTAGTGATTTTGCAACTTGTGTTATTTTTAGAATTGACAATATAGTTTGTACATATCCCTTTTGTACATATAGGTACATGAAAAATGGCAAAATACGAAAAACGACATGCCAAGATCGAGGAATGTTAAAACCACAAAATAAAGTAGAATGAATACACGCAATGTTAACGCAAATACTTAAGATACGGATGGCCTCTGTCGGCTGACGTGACTGAGCCGAGTACGAATGTGGATATAAAAAACGTTGTATTCAAATTGTATACGCTGTTTATGGGGAAAAAGAAACACGAAACGCGCCATGGTCAAAATGTTATGTACAATGTTTGCAGTGTGTACAGATGCCTTAAGAGCTAAGATGACCTTAAACGATACGCGCTACCATGAATCCCTACACATAATTGTAATAAATGTACAAACGCACAGGATAGGTAATAATGCTAATATTACTATTGTGTCTGTCAAAATTGTACTCACCGGTATCAAAAATCGCTTGATCCAAAACCAAAAATACGTTAGAAGGAAAGCACTTGTTAGGAGTCTAGAAATATTGAAATGTGCAAAAGAATCAACAGGGTTCCTGTGCATATAAAAACGTCTCCTTCAAACGTTGGCATTAGCCTGACGTTGGATAACACGGTACGGTTCCGCGAGCTTAGTTACCCTCTCCATTCCACCGCCGTGCGATAAGTTTTAACTAATAATGGTCCAAAGGGCATTTAATGTTACGAACAGACGGTAATAAAAGATACGAAATAAAATACAAACTATATTTATATAACAATCATGGACATTTTGAAAAATATGCAATTATAATAATTCCTAATAAAACAAATAAAATATGTACCTATTTATTGTGTGATATAATATGACAATGACTTTAAATAATAATAATGTTAATGTATTATTATATTATTATTTAATTTATATGAAAAATATAGTGAAAAAAAAATGCAAAAAAGTTGAGTTTCGGGCGACCGTGTAAACCTTATGGCAATGACGGTATCGACGCCCGGACGGCGTACGACGGATTCGAACCCGGGACCTACGTGTTTCCTACCTTACGCCTAACCTACTCGGACACAATTTGAGATATGGAATTCGGTCAAAACATCAACACTTAAGCCGTGCGTCTACGGAGCAACGTACACCGATATATTCGATGTACATCGATGTAATCGCATATAATTCGCTTGTAATACGCGCATCTTCCATAGGTATATATATTTAACGGGGCGTGTGAAAAGCGTTTTCAATTAATAATTATTAAATAATAGGGAAAAATTAAATTATACATGTATATATAGTAGGGTGGCCTTATTTTACGATATTGGATTTTTTTCAGTCTTACCCCCTAATTTGGTTCCAATATATATAAAAACTATGTGTACAAAATTTCATGTCGATAGGTTAAGTTTAACCCGTGCCCCTGGGCCCTGGGTCCTTAAAGTTCGAAAGCACTATTTTATTCAAATAACCACGTTTTTTTTTAATATTTTATTTATATCTTGTTTCAACTCACTCTTATATAAATATGTATAAGACATTATTTATAGTAAATTAAATTTTCTATAATTCTTGTTCTATGTAGTTTTTTGATTAACATAATATTTTTATATATAATTAATTATGAAACATAAAAGTTTATAAATAATGTGACATTTAAACAATATTATTACAAAACGTAGGTATTATATATAATATACATTTAATTGTTATTAAAAAAGAGCCTCATTGGTTTTATGGATGAATTAATTTGTTTAATATTTATATTTTATAGCATACAAAGAAAAATAATTAAAATGGGTTTAAAACCGTAGTTTTTAAACTGTTTGGGTATTTTCGGCGATAATCTTTGACAACTTGAAGCACGTATTGTTTTTGCTCTTCATTTTTTGTTAAGACCTTATTATACTCCTCCATGAGCTTTACCCCTCTTTCTGCCGTATCATTTGTAACACGAAATGTATTTACAATTTCAAGACCTTTTTGAAAGTCTACATTTTCATCCCACATTGATGGATGTTGCTCCAAGAATGATGTTGATATTCCAAATCGTGAAAAAAATGATGTAGATTCAACGTAAATAAAATCATATATTTCTTTCTTCATGATTTGAGTTACTTCATTTGGTGAAACAATGATTCGTTTATTAATTTCAGAAGTTAAATTATTTAGTTTTATAGAATCTACCATTTTAATTTTTGTTTCAATTGTTAAATTAGTATCAAAAAATGCCAATGCTACTGTTTCAGGTGTTAAATACCACAAGTGTCCACATAGTTTTTTTAATGTTGATTGAGAAATTTTTTTATGTATATTTTCATAATCGACGAGACTTTTCAAAAATTGTAAGTCTTGAAATGGAGCTAAAGAGGCAATAGGTGCACAAAACCATGCCTTAATATACAATCGAATAAGAAAAATACAAATTGAACGAATTGAATCTTCTTCATTTTTTTTTTAATTTAAATTGCTTACGAAATATAAATATTTTTAGAGAATAAATGGCCTTAGACATCCAACGTGCGTGGTGCATTGCACCTGGATACTTAAAAGATATACCACGAGTAGGGGTACCACCAAGAAATATTACAGCTAATTCCAACAATTATTGATATTAACTTTTGGCCAAAATTGTTGAAAACGTTTAAAAATTTGAATATCTGGACCAGACGTAACCACAAAGTTTACTTCAAATGCCGATCTAAGTATAATTTCGTAAATGTGATGCCTGCAAGGAAAGTATAAAATATCACGTTCTAATAGTTGTTCTAGGATTATACATGCTCCTTTTAGACGGCCCGTGTTCGAAGCTGTTGTATCGCAACATAGAGCTTGTACATGATCGATAAGACCCCATTCTTCAAGTGCTTGAAACACTGCTTCCGCTTGATTTTGACCAGTTCCAGATATGAGATTAGGTACACTTAACAGTTTTTCGGAATTTTTATATGAAACAATAACTGGTAATCGATCAACAAGCTCTTTACCTGTTAAATCTGGGAGTAGCTTACCATCCCAATGAACAACAACTGGACCTACTTCTGATGTATTGAATTCTTTTCGAAGTTGATCTGCTCTATCCTTACGTAAGCGCTGGCGTATTCGGTTAATAGATGTCCGATTTAAAATTAAATCATTTACGTGTATACCAAACGCTTCTACAGTAGCTGTTAATATATGAACTGCATCGCGATCACTTATTTTACACCTGTCCAATGCGATTGCAAGTTTCGGCGTTATAAAATTTTTCTTACCTCTACTTTGAAACGTATGAAGATCTAGGAATTCGGATGTGTTACCAATATCTAACGATTTGTTTGAAATATTTTCACCAGTATCAGAATCGCTATCAGAACTTGTAGAACAAATTATTTCGCTGTCAACAGTACGTCCTAAAATAAATTAAATTTATAGAATAATTTAAAATGGTTTGATAGAAATTTACAGTCTTACTTGCTTGTTCAATTTCTCCATAAGCTCTCTCTTTCCGTTTTGTAACTGCTTCTAACCGAGTAATTACTCTTTCTTCAGTTTTTTGTAAATTTTTATCTTTACCAAGCATACAACCAATTCTGCCTTTTTCTCTTTGAGATAGTAAGAATTGTCGATCTACTTCTATTTTAATAATATCCAATGCATTCATATGTGCAATATCAAAAAGGTCATCTAACTCATTCACAAAACATTCTTGTTTTTTCTTATTTATTTCAGTTTTTCTTGTTGCATGTTTTTGTAAGGTTCTCCATTCTTCGTATAATGATTCCAGCTTCTTAATGTTATTGTATTCTTGTCTTATTGGAATGCGAGCTTTTTGCCAAAATACAACTATTTCTTGGATAACAAGTTTCGCACTTTTGTGTAAGTTGAGTTTTACTTTACGCATATTAAAAAAAAGTACACGTAACGCCTGTCTTTTTGACGGTAATTCACTACCAATAATTTGGTTGCAAGTACTACCAATTAAAAAAATTTTATCTTGCTCACGAAGAATAATATTTGAAGTAGATGTTGAAGCCATGATAAAAAAAATATGTGTAATATTTTGTTTTGCTATCTATCGTGGTCCGCAGTATACTAATCGACCGTCAGATTACATACAAATATGTTAGTATTTACTATCAGTTTTATGGAGTAGTCTATTTTTAAAACTGTTTCGAATCATTAAAAGATAATAAAAAGATAATCAAATCAAATTATTAAATTATTAAATGCTGTTTGCTTATCTCAGATAATAAATTCAATCAGTTACAAATGTAATAATATAATGATGCTAGATATTTTGTAATCTTGTTAAATTGTCACGTTATTAAATTACGTTTTATACATTTTATAAACTTGTATGTTTCATAATTAATTATATATAAAAATATTATGTTAATCAAAAAACTATATAGAACAAGAATTATGGAAAATGTAATTTACTATAAATAATGTCCTACACATATTTATATATGAGTGAGTTGAAACGAGATATAAATAAAACATTAAAAAAAAAACGTGGTTATTTGAATAAAATAGTGCTTTCGAACTTTAAGGACCCAGGGGCACGGGTTAAACTTAACCTATCGACATGAAATTTTGTACACATAGTTTTTATATATATTGGAACCAAATTAGGGGGTAAGACTGAAAAAAATGTTATAAAATAAAATCACCTATTTGACGAAGGGCCACCCTAAATTATATAGTTTATATACGCGTACGGTCGGTCGATCGACGGCGTAATTTCTAAACGCTCTTGCGAGGCGAACGAACCGATTTCGGGGGAAAGGCGCATATAAACGGCTTTAAAAAGACTCGATTCGGGCACAAACGGGTGCGAATAGACGAAACGGTGGGAGAAAAGGAAAAAATCGGCATAAAGTCCGGTCGGGAGTGTATTTTTCGATCGACATTGCACTAATATAAACCGCACACCGGTGGCTTCGAATTAAGTATATAAAAGGGAGAAAAGGGTCGAAATCGTGTTAAAACAGCTAATTTTCCGAAAATCGGCGAAATGATAGGAAAAGAGGTGATAACGAAAAACGTTTTAAAACCGACCGCCGTCACTGCGAAGGTACGCGATTGGTCGCGCTATAAGGAATCGACGGGACATGGCCGGCGGGCTGGGGAAACGGAGCGGTGCTTCATTTTTTACGCCACGGGTTCGCTATAGCCGGCGCTGTCCTTTCCATTGGTACACTATATGTAATCAGCTGTTCTTCATTTTATAGTATTAGACTAGCTCTAAGTGAAACTCGGGGCCCGTGGAATTCGCCGAGAGTGGGTACCGATTTTGGAGACAACGTCGTTGGTATTATAAAAGTCTCAAAGGTTGTAAGACGAAAGTTTAGGATTTGTGATAAGGAGTAGTGATATGGATTGGAGATAAGGCTTGGCGCTTTGGCGGGAATGTTTAAAAGTTTTAACGTCTAGCAATCCATCACGAACATTGTAAATGGATACAATCCTCAGGATCTCAAGGCGTTTGTCAGCTGCTTTTGGTTGTTGAAATTGTTAAAAAGTGTAGAGTCGATATGTGCATTTGATTGTCTAGCTATCAGTCATAAAATCACATCGGTAAGCAATATGCGAAGAGTATATTATCAGGTATGCACTCCACCTGCGGTGGATTGCGGACCCCGTTAGTTGCGCAGATAAGTGAATAATCAAAAATATAGATTCTAGTTGGCCTATGAGACTCGCTGAATTTGGGGGTACCTACTGATTTTGGAGTAAGAGTCGTTTCAATTATTAAAGGAGCGACAATCGTAAGATGAAAGTTTAGGATTTGTGATAAGAATTAGTGATATGGATTGGAGATAAAGCTTGGCGTTTTGGCGTAAATTTTTAAAAGTTTAAGCGTCTAGCAATCCGTCACGAACGTTGTAAATGGATACGATCTCTAGGATCTCTAGGCGTTTGTCATCTGCTTTTGGTTGTTGAAATTGTTAAAAAGTGTAGAGTCGATATGTGTATTTGATTGTCTAGCTATCAGTCATCAAATCACATAGGTAAGCAATATGTGAAGCGTATATCATCAGGTATGCACTCCACCTACGGTGGATTGCGGACCCCGTTAGTTGCGTAGATAAGTGAATAATCAAAAATATAGATTCTATTTGACCTATATGAGACTCGCTGAATGTGGGGTCATCGATTTTGGAAGTATTGTTCGTGTCTGTTGTAAATCGAATGTTGGATAATTGTTCTAAGGGATAGGGTTTATGATAACGCGTTTAGTGATATGATTTTAAGATTGAGATAATGCTTGGCGCATTGGCGGGAATGTTTAAAAGTTTGAGTGTCTAGCTATATCAGTCATCAACGGTGTAAGTACGCATAATATTTTACATCTCTTTTTTGTGGCTTTTGGGTCTGTCCAAAAGTTTGAAGTCAAAAAAAACCATACACCTAATCGATTTTCTAAACTATCAGCGCACTTTGTTCAACGTGTAATTATGATCCATAGGGCACCAGCCCTTTTTGTAATTAAAAAAGTGTACGTCGATAATTCGATTATTAAGTCGATATTTATGAAGTTCATTAATTTACAAAAAATAGAAAATCCAAAAGTATAATATATATAAATGTGTGTTTATTGTATGATAAATGATAAAAACATATTATAAACACAATTAGGTGTACTAATAAATTACACTGTCTTAATGTACCTAATTAATTTCAAGAAAATAAATATACGATCATTGTTATGATCAGATCAAGGCTATTTACTGCATGTAATTAACAAAATTAATCATAGGGATGTCAATATTAAAATCCATTTGAATATGGTACATTGCCATTTTTGTTGTTTTGTTAAAAAATATAATATGTTTAGTATACATACCTATCTATTACATCGTTTTTAATAAAAGTATAATTTAACTTAACCTAACTTGCAGTATGTCATTGATACTATTAATATTATTTATTTATTTTAACAAATTGTGTGTGTATTTGAACAGTTTGATTTAGTATGGTATGTATAATATATTGAATCAAAAACAGTAGGTAAACAATATTTTAAACAGAAAGTCGGATGTTAGTTACATACAGCGCCGGATCATAGCTTTTTAACACACGGGGAAAATTAAAAAAATACGCCCATCCAGGGAGATGACCAGAATTAGTATTTTTTTTTTACGAAAAATCAAGCACACTCACACAGTATTGCGAGGAACTGAGGACCAACATTTACAAAACCTTTCCAAATGCACTGCAGGACCAATCATTTACATAGGCGCACATAGGGGGGTGCTTGGGGGTGCTTAGCATTCCCAAGCTTCAAACCAGCACCCTCAGTTTATTTCGGTATTTCACCAATCATTTATAAACTATCGTGGTTTATTGGTTCGGAATTTTTCTTTTTATTACAAATATTGACAACTGTTTACGAATTCACGATTAAAACAGTATTGTGTGAATGCATGGTTCAGTGTTTCAGTTTTTGTCAAAACATTAAACAGTATGTAGCAATCATATTATATCATATCATTATAGAAAATTATATTATCTTACTGGTTATTTATATTTCCATTTTCTATGCATGATAAAATTTTCTAAATATTTTGAGTTATTTTGAGGTTTTTATGGACATTTTTAGGTTCCATTTTGTTTAGTTTTTTTTCTATAAATATCAATAAAATTTTATTTGTTGGGTATAAAAGCTTAAAAATGTAATAGAAGGCTCCTAATATATTGTTTTCAAATTTTATGAAATATAAAAACAAAGTTACACAGTAAATTTTCTCATTTTTATAGTGTGAACATTTAGTTTCTTACTTTCTTAGCTTAGAGTACAGCCTTAAAGTTTTTTATACCCGTGCAAAACAGTTTTGCCTATGTTGTACCTACGTTTGTAATACGGAGACAACACATGTTGGTGTACCTAGCGTCTTCTGTACAATCATACAGACTATTTGATACATTGCACTTTAGATATTATTGAATACACTATACAAATTAAATCTAATGCAATGCAGAAATATTAGGATTTAGGGGGGTGTGGGGGGCAAAGCCCCCCACGGATATGTGAATCATAAATTATTCCAGCACCCCCTAAATTCACACCCAATGTGCGCCTATGATCATTTATTTACCACAAATAATTTGAACGATTTTAACTTAAAAATGAAACATTTTAAATTTTAAACTATTCACGTAATATAGTTTTAGAAGCACTTCTTAATGGTGTATTTAAAGCTAAAATCTGTGGTCAATATTTCTAAGTTCCAGGTTTAGAATAAATAATATTGATAATAATAACATGTATGAATTATTTATTAACAAATCTAAATTAGGTATCCATTGCTTACTTTTAATATAGGACGCTTTATGTAAAAGAACAATATTTAATTTACAACATACCTATCAATATTATACATTTTCATTTTTAATAATTGTTACAATCAAAACTAATAATATGTACCTAGGTACGGAATAAATACAATGAAACAAAAATGTAATTATGTACTGAAAATTGTAATATAATGATTATAACACGACAAAGAAATATTTATCATGGATTATCACTTATGGATTGAATGTACCTATATATACTAAAATAACTACATTCTACATTCTACATTTTAAAAATTTCCAGAATAATAAGGACCTGGTTGTCTGTTTGACATCTTGAACTATAAAAATAAATTAGACAAAAAACACAGTTTATAATAAAAAAAAACGAACCAAATAGAATATAAATTTCATTTTAAATTATTTTAATATAATATGTAAAACATAATATTCAATCTGTCTTGAGCTACAATCAATAGGATAGTATTTTTGTTTTAATCATTTAATTATGTTGTACTTTTGTAGTACCATTAGTACCAAGTTTATCAAGTAAATTAATAGTTGTATACTTGTACCTATTTAAAAACTAAAAAGCAAACACAAATGACAAATTATATTCCATTTTGTGTTCTGTTACATTTATCTAGTGGCCATGGTGATATTTATAAAAAAGTTCAGTTTATAAAAAGGCATTTGTTGTTAAATACAAAGACTTTTATAAGTCTAGGTACGAAC